AAGGTCAGCAACTCAGTTGTTAAATTTTATTACTGCAAACCCTCTTGAACTAGGCTGACTTGACTATTCTCCTACAAAAGCATAACTCCCATTATCCCCATCCAGGATGGCCCACAGCTGGGGAATTGCAACAGGGAACCTAAGCACATCTGAACATCTCCATGGAAGGAAGGCAGCGGTGGTCCTATGCCCACCTCTTTCCCCCTGTAATAAATCAAGGAGGTGGTGCCCTTGGGATGAGTTTTCATCAGGTTTCTCTCCAGGCGTTGCCAAAGCAATGATCAACACAGCTGCCTGTCTCCAGGTTCCCCTGTAAAAGCTTTGACACTTTTCCCTCCAACCTGGAATCAGAGTTTCCACCAGCAGCTGGAACAGCTGTGAAGATCATTACTGCCACGAAAGATTGCCTGGGGGGTCTCTGGGCACAGAGAGTAAATGGTGGAGAGTTAAGGAGGCTCCTGTTCCATTCCTTGCAAGCTCCCCCCCCCCCATCCCCAGCAGGCCGAGGACAGGATATGAAGCAAAGGAAGTGAAACCAGCATGGAGAGACAAGGGTGCACTTTTAGACTAGTGGCAGACAAACCATAGTTTATTGGGATGCTTTAAGCACTCTTTATCTTAAGGCTTACCCCGGTTGTCCCACTGGGCTGCTTCAGAGGCAACAAAAGGAGCTTCCTGTTTCCTAAACTTTCACAGGGACAAAGAATTTGAAAGCACTGACTCCCTTGTTTTACATGGCTGGTTGTCTGAACTCACAGACTTTGAGATTCCTTTTAACAATAGTCAATCTATCATGGGAACTGAAGTTTGAGTTCACCTCTTCTAGGGAGAGGAGGAAGAGAAGAACTTCTGATGCTAATCAGTGGGTCTCCTGCCCTTTTGGACTAATGCACACATATGGAACTCCAGCAATATATATCATGGGCACCTTCACAAAATGGTTGCCAGTTGCAAAACACCAATAGATCATCCAATTTAAGTTTCTTCGCAGAAGTCTCCCTACAGCTTCTGTTTTCTAAACAGGGGGTCCCACTTCCAAGGAAAGGCTCGTTTTTTTNCCCAGCCCACCCACCCCGGCCACCCCCACCCAGTCTGCCGTGACCACCGCAGCTATGATCACCACAACTATGCCCACCCAGTGGCCATGCCCACCCAGTGGGCCACGCTCCCCCGCTCTGCCTGAGAGCACCACAATGCTGATGCGGCCCCTGGCACTTTGCAATAAATCAGTGGGTTTTGGGTTGCAGTTTGGGCACTCGGTCTCTAAAAGGTTCGCCATCACTGCCATAGGGAAATGTTTCTCAACTTTGGCACGCTGGGAAAATCTGGGAGTTGGCCCACATATTTTCAAGCTCCCAAGGTTTGAGGCACTGGCATAGGAGAAAGTTGTGGGTTATTAGGACCATGAGGGTGCTGGACCGCAGGTCTGCCAAATATCCAACAACAGATAATTCTGTTGTAATTAAATAGGTTCCCCGGTTCCAGAAGAGGCCAAGTACATGACAATTCAATGTCCGTCAATGGAGTTCCGGTCCTGGCACATGACATCAGTTTATGGATGTGATTCATCGCCCATCCTGAGAGGACGGAGTCCAACCTTGATACTTCAAGGCTTTTTGGGTGAGGCAGGTTATGGACCTTCAATCTCCAGTATGGATTCACGTGTAAGAAGACCTTAGGATGAAATGGCTTCAGGGGTTCTATTTCAGAACACACAGTATATTCTTAATTTCCTGCAGCAGGTTATAGAGCATTTATCCTTGGATGTTGGATATTCTGTTCATATGTAAACAGTTTGGGGCCTAAATAAACAGAAACGCCAGCAGAAGCCAAAAGATTTTCAGAACTTTGCCAGTTGCCTTTGGCTCTCAGTGTCTTCTGGCATCATCTGATGAAGGAGATTGGGGAAAAAAGAAACTCATAGAAGTCCCTGAATCCCTAAAGATTGGACAGCCTGGGGAACTATCAACTTTCCACTCTCTTTTCTGTGTCGCTTGAAGCCAAAGAACTCCAGGAGAGGAGATGCAGCTGATTTGAAAGCCCACATTAGGGAACATGCTGTGAAATCGCTCAGTTTCCAGCTAGTAATGAAGCCCAGGCCTGCTCGAATCGGACAGGTGGGATGGCTCAGAGCAAAACCCCTGGCCAATTGCGAGGCTGCCGGGGCTTAGCGTCATTTCTCACCCTTGGCGAAGAGACATCTGGCTTTGGGAGACGACTGTTCTGTGGGAGGTGCCCTGAAACAGGACCCAGCCAGGTTTCTGTGACATATTTCAGTTTCCAGCTTTCCATTATGGTTTAAGTCAACAATTAATTAGTGGAACGGCTTGCCTTTGGAATGTGTGGGTGCTCCATCACTGGAGGTTTTTAAGAAGAGACCGGACAGCCACTTGTCCAGAATGGTATAGGGCAGGGGTGTCCAATCTTGGCAACTTTAAGACCTGTTGACTTCAATTCCCAGAATTCCCCAGGCAGCCATTGTGGGAGTTGAAGTGCACAAGTTTTAACACTGCCAAAGTTGGACACCTCTGGCATAGGGTTGGACTAGAAGACCTCAAGATCCCTTCCAGCTCTGTTATACTGTTATTGTCTTTCAGCAAGGCAGAGAGAGGAGGAGAGTGGAGTTTGTTGTTTGTTGAAAATAGAGCCCAATATCTTAAAACAAATAGAGACATACGGACTTTCAGGAATAGAATAGAATAGAATAGAATAGAATAGAATAGAATAGAATAGAATAGAATAGAATAGAATAGAATAGAATAATGTCATCTGACGGAAGGGCATTCAGGGAGATTTGCGTGGACTCTCATGATTGTGATGCTGAAGAAAACACCATCTTGATGTGTGGACTTAGCTCTCGTGGGGCAGTGACCTTAAATGCCCTGTGGAAAACATGGTCACTTATTCAGAGTTAGACTCCCTCGCCTGATGCCTTCTGGTGGGTTGGCACTATGGCTCATCCATTCTCAATCAATACAGTGGCTAAGAATGAGAAGAATCTGTTTTCTCCTTTAAGGAAAACAATTGTCAGGCGTGAACAACCAGAATCACATGTGCAGACTTTGAGCTAACTACTTTATTACTTTCTACCTATAATACAGGAATCTCCCCAGTCTAGCAGCCTAGTCCTGGGAACAATTAGATCAGGCTCCAAATAACCTAGATAGGGTTGGGCATAGTGACTCCAGGCTTAGCTCCATGCTTGATCCCTCCTGCTGGCCAGTCTGGATGCTTCCCAACAATAATGCTCTGATTCCCACGTTACTAACATTGGCACCCCTTAAAAATCACAATGACATCAAAGTATTGGCACATTCATCCTGATGTCACTGAGCACAGAACACAATTTTGTATTTTGCGTTAGTTCATGTAACATGAGTGGCACAAATTTCATTATTGTATTAGATGTTCAATAACTTCAGGATACTCATGTCTCCACTTGCCTACCCCACAGCCATCTGCAGATATCAAAGACAAATTCAGAGACATAAATATCCCTCTTATAAAAATAAAAAACCCAGTTTTGGGAAATGTCAGCTTTGTTATACAACCCCCCATGTTCTTCTGATGAATTATAGCCCTTGGTAGCTCATCTACAAAGCTCAAAGCAGTGCCTGTTATTTCACTTTTCTAAGGAATAGCGAAGTAGTTTAAGAAACATAGTTATAGTTGGCTCATTTCTCTTAATATTCACAAGAATTCAGTCTTAGAAACAAGTCAGATCCTATAGCAGGTCAAACTTCAGAGGATCTAAGCAACAGCTGCTATGTCAAGTGGAAAATGCTGTGATTCAAATTCAGCATCTGTTTTTTGTCACTGGGAGTATAAAACTTTGGCTCCATCGAAGTTGAGATCCTTTTATTATGTGTGTTTTGTTGACAATTTTTCAACTATTTAATTTTTCAGCTATTCAACTATTCCCTCATATAACACATTTAGTTGGTTAGTTTCTTCAATCTATGAACTCATCTTTTATTCAGACTTTCCCTAATTTGCTTTCTTAAATTGCAAAATTCAGAGGATCAAAAAATATGAAACAATATCTGTGCTCTGGTTTGATACATACATCAATGCAAACTAAATTAATTTAGCTCCCAACTCATCCTTCTGTAAACCACTTCATAAGTGAATAAAGATTCCCTCCAAGGTATAATATAAATATATAAACCCTACAAATATATTCTACACGCGTGTTCAGGTAATATATAAATACGGGTACTCCTCGACCATAATTGAGCCCAAAATTTCTATTGCTAAGCAAATGAGCTTTGCCCCATTTTACAATCTTTCTCGCCACTACTGTTAAGTGAATCACTTTAGTTGTTAAATAGTAACACGGGGTTGTTAAGTGAATCTGGCTTCCCCATTGACTTTGCTTGTCAGAAGGTGGCAAAACAGGACCATATCACCCCGGGACACTGCGACCGACCGTCATAAGTACTTGTCAGTCGCCAAGCATCTGAATTTTGGTCACATGGCCATGGGGATGCTGCAACGGTTGTAAGTGTGAAAAAATTCATGCCCCTTTCCCCCCCTCCACACATACCTTTGAATAGTCATTAAACAAATGGCTGTAATTCAATTCTATTTGTATCATTAAAAAGAAATGCGGTACTAGTGACACAGTTACTATTCCACAACCAACAGGATAAAAACGCAATAGTTTAGAGGAGATTAGCATTCTCTTTCGTTGCATGCCTGTGTTCAAGATGTTCTGAGTGCCTTTATTTTACTCTCTTCGTTGCAGAAATTCTGGCACCCCTGCAGGGATGTTATTAAAACTCTCAGCTCAAAAGAGGGGGAACCTGCCTTTTGTGAAGCACTGAAATAGCAAAGGAGAAACAGCTTCTTTTTAAAGAATCATTAATCACCTGCTTTTCAAGGGAAGCCAGACCTGAAATCCTAGTATCGGTGGCCTCTCAATGACCCTCCAGTTCAAATTCACGGGGATTTTTCAACAGACATTTAAGCAAAAAGGGTGGATTTCTAAGCAAACTTACACAGTGCGTGCTGGAGATGATGACGGAGCTGGAGATGAAACTGAGGCCATCGTTCATGCTCACTTGAAGAGCAGCTTCCCTAAAACAAGGAAGGAGGGGAGAAATGACTTGTTGAGGAAAGACTCAAAAGAAATCCACCTCTTTTGAAAACACAGCAGCATCTGGGCTGGTGCAGATTCTTTGTATTGTAGGGAGACCGCCAAGTAGGTGGTCCTCAGATGGCTTGGCCTTTAGCTGTGAAGAATGGAAGTCCACCATCATATCTGCAGGGCCACCAAGCTGGAGAAGGCTACTGGATTTGCTGAATGACCAGAATAGCAACAGAACGTGCCCTCCATGGCAGGCAGGAGCCAGCCTTCTAGATGGAGGGCACAGGTGCTGCAATCAAAGACCATTTCTGTAAGGGCAGTGGCAGGATTCAGCCAGTTCACACCACTTTGGCAGAACTGGTAGCTAATTTTTTTTTTTAAAAAATGTTTTATTGATTTTTAACATTTTTACCTTAATATTTGGTAAACAAGGGCAGATCAGAAAGTACAGTAGCAAAAGAAAATTCACCAGTGAAAGTTACAACGAAAAGAGCTATTGTGGATAAACTCTGTATTTTCATAAACCTACATGCCAGCTTCTTGTAAGACAGGTGCTGGGCAGAGTAAGTAGGTGTCCTCCACTACAAAGGGTTTCTCATCTGGAAAGAGAAGCAGAGAAAGTGGTTTCAGGTGAAGCAACTTTGGAAAGAACAATTAGGGTGTGGGAAGTTTTATATCCACATATATTTTATTCTTTATACTGTTTCCATCTTTCCTCGAAACATTAACAGAATCCACAATGGTCTAAGAATCAGCGTCTCCACTAGATAATTGAGAGTCAAGTGGAAACTAAGTTAATCAAATAAAAATCACAAATAGAGGGAAAGCTTTTACCCAAACCTCCTCAAAACCCCAAATAAGTTACCCAGACCTAATCCAATATCAAAGGATAAGGTCTGTAAACACAAGCAGAGTTCATTAAATTAGGTCTTCCAGCATAACGTCATGTTCACAAGAATAAACATACTTATACACACATACCTCAAGTGTCATCCTAGAATCGGCACGCAGACAATTCCACATCCAGGAGAAACTCCCCTATTTGCCCAAAATTTCCATCGCTAAGCAAGTTAGTTGTTAAGTGAATTATCTCCATTTTACGACCTTGCTTGCCACAATTGTTAAATGAGTCACTGCAGTTGTTAAATAAGTAACACGGTTGGTAAGTGAATCTGGCTTCCCCATTGACTTTGCTTGCCAGAAGGTCACAAAAGATGATCTCATGACCCTGGGACACTGCGACCGTCATAAATATGAACCAGTTGCCAAGCATCCAAGTTTTGATCACGTTACCATGGGGATGCTGCTGCAATGGTCGTAAGTGTGAAAAACGGTCCTAAGTCACTTTTTCAGTGCCGTTGTAACTTTCAATGGTCACTAAACAAATGGTTGTAATACAAGGACTATCTATAGAAGAAATAAGCCCCCCCCACAAACAGATTCTCCCCTCCCCACTTCTCCCTCCCCCCAAGTGCCAGAGTCCTTCACGCCAGCTTCTCTTGGAAGCTCCCCTGTGCACAGTTTGAGACTTGAAGACTGCCTTGCCCTGGAAGGACAGGGCTGGGTGGAACTCTGAACCCAGACTTTTCAATGCTTCCTGCACTTCTTTCGATGCAGTCTGTTGCTTTTCCTTCCAGGGCTGTCACACAACTGCACCATCCATCTTCAGATTGCCCTGTAATTAAACCTACAAGTTGTGCAAGGCCTGATAGGATTTAACTTGACCACTTTGGCTTGGCTACTCAGCAGAAACCATGTCGGGGGTTGGAACCGAAGGCCATTCCTTAGATTTGGCCAGACAGCCAATGCCGCAAGTCTTCCCTGGTCCAACCCAAGAGGCAACATTTTGGTTCCTTCCAACCCTGAGCAGTGCAAAATGGGTCAGCATCACGCCTCTCCTGAAATGCTCATTCACGAGAGCATTGAATGAGCCTATGTAACTCCTGGTTAGGCCTTGGGACAATATCTAGCCATACTTGCTGAGAGCTTCTCTTTAATTAATTCTGGGATTAATGAGGTCTTAATGTTTGTGAAATCATTCAGCTTTAGCCTGTCTGGTTTTAAACACAGAAGTTCCAGGTTGTCACTCCAGAATATTCATTCTTCGCTTATTTTGTAGCATTTAAATTCAGGGCTTTTCAAACATATGCACAGGGCTTTCATTATGCAGCTCTGGTGCCATCTTGATTTTTATGACCTTTCTCTCTGTGGTCACCTCTGCTTGAGAGAGACTCGATAGCCACGTCCAGCTCTGACGCAGCTCTTCACTTTTTCTCCTCCATCTCTTTCCAGGTTTTTTCTTCTCCTGCTTCCAGACTATCCCCTCAATCCACACATAAAGATTTCTCCCAAAAAAATTTAAGTGGAGCTTCACGCACTTGGGCGAGTGTCCACCACTCATGCAAATGGAGCTGCAGATCTCCTATTCTACCTTGGTGCATAAGAGTGACTCTCAGCACAGCTTTATAAGTAAGCTAAGGTTTCATTTTCAGATAAAGCAATCTTTCCATTCTGAAGTTACCCACGTCTGGGGTATAAGTAAACTAAAACACATCTTAACTTTTGCACAGTTTCTTTTGACTGATTATCCAGATGCATTTCTGTCTTGTTTTATGGGAGAAGGCAACTTGGCAACTTTTAAGCAACCTGAGAACGAGCACTCAAAACACACATCTGTAACCATCGCAACCGCCCAACATGAGTGTTATAATTCTGACACTGCAGATTGGGGGAGGGAAGCTGACAGAGAGGGACTTGCATATCATCGCTGGTCAGAGTTATGTGAGCCTGAGAGCACAAGGCTGCCACTAAATGTGTGCATTTCACAATGGAAGGCAGCTGGAAAGGAAACCTNAAGAAATAAGCCCCCCCCCCCACAAACAGATTCTCCCCTCCCCACTTCTCCCTCCCCCCAAGTGCCAGAGTCCTTCACACCAGCTTCTCTTGGAAGCTCCCCTGTGCACAGTTTGAGACTTGAAGACTGCCTTGCCCTGGAAGGACAGGGCTGGGTGGAACTCTGAACCCAGACTTTTCAATGCTTCCTGCACTTCTTTCGATGCAGTCTGTTGCTTTTCCTTCCAGGGCTGTCACACAACTGCACCATCCATCTTCAGGTTGCCCTGTAATTAAACCTACAAGTTGTGCAAGGCCTGATAGGATTTAACTTGACCACTTTGGCTTGGCTACTCAGCAGAAACCATGTCGGGGGTTGGAACCGAAGGCCATTCCTTAGATTTGGCCAGACAGCCAATGCCGCAAGTCTTCCCTGGTCCAACCCAAGAGGCAACATTTTGGTTCCTTCCAACACTGAGCAGTGCAAAATGGGTCAGCATCACGCCTCTCCTGAAATGCTCATTCACGAGAGCATTGAATGAGCCTATGTAACTCCTGGTTAGGCCTTGGGACAATATCTAGCCATACTTGCTGAGAGCTTCTCTTTAATTAATTCTGGGATTAATGAGGTCCTAATGTTTGTGAAATCATTCAGCTTTAGCCTGTCTGGTTTTAAACACAGAAGTTCCAGGTTGTCATTCTAGAGTATTCATTCTTCGCTTATTTTGTAGCATTTAAATTCAGGGCTCTTCAAACATATGCACAGGGCTTTCATTATGCAGCTCTGGTGCCATCTTGATTTTTATGACCTTTCTTTCTGTGGTCACCCCTGCTTGAGAGAGACTCGATAGCCACGTCCAGCTCTGACGCAGCTCTTCACTTTTTCTCCTCCATCTCTGTCCAGGTTTTTTCTTCTCCTGCTTCCAGACTATCCCCTCAATCCACACGTAAAGATTTCTCCCAAACATTTTTTAAGTGGAGCTTCACGCACTCGGGCGAGTGTCCACCGCTCATGCAAATGGAGCTGCAGATCTCCTATTCTACCTTGGTGCATAAGAGTAACTCTCAGCACAGCCTTATAAGTAAGCTACGGTTTCATTTTCAGATAAAGCAATCTTTCCATTCTGAAGTTACCCACGTCTGGGGTATAAGTAAACTAAAACACATCTTAACTTTTGCACAGTTTCTTTTGACTGATTATCCAGATGCATTTCTGTCTTGTTTTATGGGAGAAGGCAACTTGGCAACTTTTAAGCAACCTGAGAATGAGCACTCAAAACACACATCTGTAACCATCGCAACCGCCCAACATGAGTGTTATAATTCTGACACTGCAGATTGGGGGAGGGAAGCTGACAGAGAGGGACTTGCATATCATCGCTGGTCAGAGTTATGTGAGCCTGAGAGCACAAGGCTGCCACTAAATGTGTGCATTTCACAATGGAAGGCAGCTGGAAAGGAAACCTCAACTGCACTCAGCAACTCCTAAAATTCAAAAAATAGCAAAGGTCTGCACAAGAGCCAGCTTTTCTTCTTCCAAAATAAATAAATGAAGCAGCATCCCTTTCTTAAAGTTCCAAAATATCTGAAACTGCTTGCAACTCTTTCTGCTCCAGGAAGGAAAGCTTCTCCCTGATTGAAAAATAATCGGATGAAATGCCTATCGTGGAACATCACAGATTGGGATTCTAGACGCTTGAGGTTACTAATTTCATAGTTTCTGCTGGTAAAATTTTGCTCCGGGAGTCACGGAGTCTTCTTAGGAGAGAATGTTACGAGCTCTGTGCTATTTGGAGTCCAGCTACCGAATTTTATGGAAAGGATCAGCTTTTTTGGACAGCAGCTCACTCCGTTGGATGTCACCAAAGAGGAACAAAGCTGTCCTCCTACAGTGTTAAGAATCTCAATGTTTTCTCTTCACCACCAAAAGCTGTTATGCATGCCAAAACAACTAGACACAAAGACAGTTACTTCCCCCATGCCATCACTCTGCTGAACACCTAATTCCCACAGCACTGTCTTAGGGCCTATAGATATTTACCCATGTAGTAGGCTGAATTGCTATTATCCTTGTCATCTTCTCATCTTTCCTACTACCTTCTCCTATTGGTATCTTATGATCATCACATTGTATCTTATGCTTAATGATTGTAACTATGATTTATGATCACTGTGTTATTTATATGTACACTGAGAGCTTATGCATTGGAGACAAATTCCTTGTGTGTCCAATCACACTTGGCCAATAAAGAATATTCTCTTCTCTTCTCTTCTCTTCTCTTCTCTTCTCTTCTCTTCTCTTCTCCTCTCCTCTCCTCTCCTCTCCTCTCCTCTCCTCTCCTCTCCTCTCCTCTCCTATTCTGTTTTTACTCTACTCTACTCTACTCTACTCTACTCTACTCTACTCTACTCTACTCTACTCTATTCTGCTGTTTCCATAATTATTTGCAGTAGCAGACAGAGTGTTTTTAATATTGGAAAGTAGATAATCACAACCAAAAGGAGCCTCTCAACTTCTCATCTGTTTGGTTTGGGACTTTGTTTTGTGAAAAACAGATCATGCCCCAGCACATTCCTTCCTTGGGTATTCTGAGGCAACTGTGTTTTCTTCCTGGTGCACATGATATCCATTTCTTTTGCAATTCCTACGGAAAGGAAGTCGGCCTCGTAAGGAGAACACTGTGTATCCTTTCTCCTTGGGAGACTGATGAATTTGCAAAACTGAACAAAAATGTCCTCTTTGGATGCAGGAAGAATGGAAGGATGA